TGCGAAAATCTGAGCGTGGAAGTGTGCTTTATTTGTGTTTCATACCTAAAAGCAGCTGTAACTTCCAAGTTTGCAACATCTGTATTTCATAGAGTAATAACACTGAAGCAGCAGTAAATTTTCTTGTGCTACTTCATCGTCCTTCGACATCTCATTATACTACCCATTTTATTTTCCGATTATACTACCCATTTTATTTTCCGATTCGAGCAGTGCAGATGTTTCTGACTGAATTTAGATGATTTTTTGGGGTATTTTAACTAGTTGTCGTATATTTTGTGCTTTGTCACATTAATTTTTTTGGGGTCTGTTTAAGTCCTCTTCGACAAAGGTTATTTCTTTTTTGGGTCAAGCTTCGACAAAGGTTTGGGGCTGAATGGCGTTGGTAAATTTTTGAATAGGTATCAAAACGGCTTGTGCGTAAAGTATAGGGATCAAAGAAAAATGTGCAGCTATCAAGTGACCAAGCCTCTGGAAAAAAAAAAAAAAAATCGTCCAATAAAAATCTCACATTTGTTCATCAGAAAAATAATCTCACATCTTTGACCCTTTGTTTCCCCAGAAAAAGAAACCAGTCCCACATCGGGCCATCATACAATATACAATATGGCTTTGAATATATGTTTAACCAAAGTAAATGAAGTCCTTGGTAAAATGTAAATGCTATAGCGCCCGGTGAAATTTCTGCCTGTAAAATACAGCAGAGAGTCTATTGCAGCCAGGCTGCCTCTTAAACACATCGCAAGAGTAGTCAGCTGCCGAAAGAGAGTGCTAATAAAATCATTGGGTGGTGAAGGTAATTGTCTTCCCCAGCACAAAGAGAGCCAGTGTTAACTCAACAAAGAAGATGGTGCCAATGAGCGCCCGATCCACCGTAAAGCCGTAGAGGGTAAGCCCACCCATATTTGATTGCATGTATGTAACTGAAAGCAGGAAAAACTTGTTAAACTTGAAAGAAAAACAAAAAGCCAAGATCAGCAATGCATCAAAGCATTCCATCAAGTTACAAGATTTCTGTTGATCTTGTGGACATACCAAAAGCTTGTCTTTTCTGAAAGAGGGACTTGTCTGAAGCTATTTGTGTACTTGTCGGCACTGGCACGTAATCAACTGACTCTAGATCGCTTTCTGAGTAGGTTATGGGTAATGAACCAGCAGAATAAGCAATCTCCAAGTTTCCCGTACTGTTGTCGAATCTCGATTGAGATGCATCTTTGGAGCCGCAGGTGACCACAGCATGCCATCTGCTAGTAACTGATGCAAGACCTTGAGCTCTGTGTGAAATCTTTGCGGCCCCATGCAGGCATATAATTAACCCAACAAGCTCAACAATACAGGCGACCTGCAATAGTGATAATCAAGTGATACTAAGTATATCCAAAGCCTATCCCTCTGACAGTATTAGAAGACAAGAAAACAAGAAGAAAGTCATATATGTCAAGTGATTCAGTTGAGCACTTTATTCATCAAAACCAGTCACAACCACATTATGAGATCAAATTTCTGAGTGGGGAAGGGGATAGCAAAAGTTTGATCTAGCTAAGTTGAATATGCTTGTATGGCCAAAACAATAGTTCAATCACTTTGAGATACATGTGAAACATGAAGCATATTGTTCTGAACTTACTGCAAAATCGCCTCCGTTGATGAGATTGACGATTCCGTGATTTCCTGTGGTCTGCAGTAGAGCCACAAATTGGCTGGCTGTCACAACTAAAATTTGAAAAATAAGATAGATTCGGAATCTGTGGCTGATCTTGGATAGATACTGCGTTAGACGAGTGTGTTCTTCGATATACGCAGAAACATCCATGTCCCTTTCCAAAAGCTTCCCATAGTTCTCAAAGTGTATCAATTGCAAACTGCACACCAAGTTGAACAAAGCACTGCCTGATAGGAAAATTATAGTTGAAAACGTCCATGACACAAGCAAAGCAAGCAATGCAAGAACAGATTTCCACCATGAATCGTAGTGAACATAAATTACGCGAGTGACTTCACGAGCAGTCTTCAGAAGGAGGCAAGGCAATACGCACACTGCCAGCAAGCGGAAGAAGTTCTGAAGAAGTGGGATATACAAAATTATGATCTCACTGCGGTATTAGCTATAATACATAATAGAAACAAGATGTTCCCAAAGTAGTTCATCGCAATTAGCACATCAAGCAAGATGGAAAATTTGTGCCAAACTTAAGAATCTTGAAGAAGGTTCGAGAGCTAAAACTTCAGCCAAGTGCAAGATACAGAGTGAGTCAAAGGGAGAAACTGACAGTAACTTGTAGTAAAAGTATTTGTCAATTTAAGTTTCAGGTTCTGTTTTCAACTAAAATTGATTTTTACATCAACTCAACTAGCCAATACATACAATTACTTCAACCAGCTATCTGCATCAAATTTAATTTTATCCCCCAATAGTAGAATTACTCAGGTAGAACATAAAGGTCACAAGCATAAAATGAAAAGGAAAAAAAATTAAATAAGGGAGCAATGGGCACTGCCAAACTCACATTGATCTTCTGTATATATTCCTCACGGTACTGAAGCATATGACCATGATACCTATCGACGAACAAGAACCTCCGTATGCCATACTTTCTGAGGTTGTAAGAAATACAAACAAGAGAAATGGCAGCCACAAGAGACTCAGAAACCAGAATCTGAAGCTCAAATTTTTTGATCTGATACTTCTCACTTCTGGAACTATAAGAGATTTCAATGAGTACCAATGGAAGTGCAACACCCACAAGAAGGAAAGCAAGCCATGAGAGGCTGAAGCTCAGAAAAGAGTACTGGCAAAACCCAAAGAGCCTGAGAAAGGTCTCCAAGCTGTGGAGAGAGTGATCAAGTTTGGCATCATCATCATCACTAGGGTTTGTTTGTGTTTGTGATGCATCTATCAATGGAGTTTGAGTTGTTTGTGAGTTCGGGCTGGCCATAAAGTGAAGGAAAAGTAAGTGAAAAACAAATTTGAATGGTTGGTCTGAGATTGGTTTTATTCAAATCAGTGTTTCCAAGTGTGCCTTAATATGGGCACTGATTCTATGAAGAACAGTGGAAAGAGAAATGAAATCTGAGAAATGGGTTTTTCTGTTCTATAGTTTTGAGTTAAGCATATGAACAAGGTTTGGGGAATGTTGAGATTGCTACTTTTGCCTTTTAGTTTTGTCAGCTAATGAGCATGGTTTTCACATTATGCAGTCTACATACACGTATGGGAACCTGCAAGGGTCAAGGAGTTTCATGAAATTCACATTCTCTCCCCAACCCAAGGTTTATTTTACTAATATTTGATAGATTAGACTCTTTTTAGTCCAAAGGGGATTGGAAAATTAATAAGTGAACTAATTAAATAATAATACCAAACACCACAAAAATTCAGTGTGCTGCTTGGATTGCATCATCCGAAGACATGAAAGATGAATAATAAAAATACCTGACAGTCAAAGTTAGCCTTTGGAACAATTTAGATTACCAAAAAGTACAATCTTATATATAATTTGGTAATCAGTGGTTAATGCCATTTACATCATTCGGTGGTTTATTATGTAAATTTGCGTAGTTGACAAGTTGGACCGAAGCATCACCAACCTACCTACCCAAGTTACCTAACGGTCTGGGACGTATCTGACATCAGGTCTTCATCCAATTTAGGAATGGATATGATCCAAACAGGAAAATGCGTTTGTCACGTGGGACCCACCTCTCCTTGTGGAGGCACAGACAGTGCATCAAGCACGATAAGGATCTTTGAATTCTGATCAGAGACATAACAACTGTGACTTCAAAGAATGCATTCATATACATGATATGTTCGTGGACATGTTGAAGTATATGACACCTACCTAGTACCCATGTTGTTAAAATAAACATATCTGCCGAGAGTAAGAATCTACCATGCGGGGCATTCTGGTTAGATGAGGATCATGATATATGGGATGCTAAATCTAATAGAGATCAATTCAGCTCGTCAGGACTCTTTCAAAAGGAGTGCTTATTGAAAGAACTGGCTCATGCATTGGCCTCTTATCCTCCTTTTGAAGTTCCAATATCTACCATTAAGGTTAGGCATATGCATTGCCAGAATGCCAAGTCAGTTCTAAGTTCTGACTGTTGATCAATTCTTTGTAAATTCTGAGATCTTCTACAGTTTGAACGCAACAATTGTTGGCTTGGCAGTCAACTTTAAAGGATCGATAGATTTACCTTGGTGTGTTGGTCTTGGTAGGTTACACTGTTTTATTGTTGGTGCAATGTGGCTATACTCGGTAAAGAAAAGTATAAATAGAATACTTTAACAGTACAGCCGGGCGGCTATACTCTTTGAATAGAAACACAGTATAGCCGCCCGGCTATACTCTATAAATAGAATATTTTAAAAGCTTAACCGCCCGGCGATACCCTTAAATAGAATATTTTAAACGTATAGCCGCGCGGCTGTACTATTTAAATAGAATATTTTAAAAGTACAGTCGAACGGCTATACGACTTAAATAAAATATTTTACAAGTATAGCCGCACAGCTATATGCTTTGATTAGAATATTTTAACAGTATAGCCGCCCAACTATATGCTTTGAATAGAAAGCAGGCATGCCTCACACATCTTTCTTATATAAGACATCTCCTTGTAATTGTGGCAATAAGCCTAGTGACAAGTTCTTTTAACTTCGTCATTTTCAGAAGGACAATGATAAGATGAGAAAGTTTTGAATAAAACAGCATTGCCAGAGCAAAACATTCATATGGCTCACACCGAACCTCCAACGACAAGGAAACAGAACAATATTGATACAAATTCTTCCTCTTATCAAATAAGGCAATAGGAAAAGTTTTGAAGACCAAACAAGATGCTGCGGGCAAAAAGACAGGTATCACAGTTGAATCACATATCTGGAATTGATATTTACTTGCATGTTTAGCACATCTGAACAAAATAAAATGAAATAACAAGATATTGATCATACATACCTAGAGATATACCCAAATCGATCAATGTGAATTGTTAAATCACGAGCAGGCTTGCTATTTAATGTGTATGGGCCTTGGCTGACAACTTCCTTGTTGTTGACGGCATTAATTCAGTATCATCACCCACAGAAGAATTTATATGTACACTTTCTTCTGGAAATGAATTACACACCTGTAAAGGAGTAACGACGGGCAAGCACAAGGCCTCCAAAGCCCTCTTAGCATGGTCAGGTGGAAGTTCAGTAATGACCTTACTGCAGAAGAGAGTTCAGTAAATGTTCAGATCATCAACAACATGGTACTAGATTGATCACGCAACGTCAGAAGATGCAGAAGATATAGTTTACCTTTAGGCTTCAACTAGATGTAACGAGTCCTCAGCTGAACCATCCATGACAGATGAACTATAAGTACTAAAAATACATTACCTGTCTGAAATGCTTGAGGATGTTGAGGTAGTTTTAGAAGCCTATCCATAACCTGTTCACATTAAAAATAAAAATAAAAACCCCAAAAAAGTGAGTATTATTAGATCATACCTTGGGAATTACTTCATTCTCAACTACATATATCTTCTTTGAAAAGGATCACTCCTTCAAAGAAGATATATCAATCCTTGAATATTTCAGACAGTGCTTTTCAAGCTTGAACATTACTAGTATTAAAGAACTGGCTCAAGCTTTGGCCTCTCATTCTCATTATGAAGTTCCAATATCTACCATTAAGATCAGAAATCTGCATTGCCAGAATGCTAGGTCAATTCTAAGTTCTTACTATTGATCAACTCCTTGCAGGTATACCATTTAAATAGAATATTTAAATGGTATAGCCGAACGGCTCTACTGTATAAATAGAATATTTTAATAGTCTACCCACACGGCTATACTCTTTAAGTTGAAAATTTTATGGTAATAGTCGCACGGCTGTATTATATAAATAGAATATCATTCGTCATTGCTTCTTCCATTAAGTTGAAGTTCAATTGTAGGACAATTATTAACCATTAACCCATAAACAAATCTATATTCTATAACAAGCTAAACTATTATTTATCATGAGAACAATAATGGTAACAAGTTTGCGGTAGTATGTATATTACATTCAGAATACAACATGAGCAAAAACACTTTAGGTAAACAAGTGACTCAACTGTTCAGCCAATTTATAAACGGATATGGCCAGAACAAGAAAATGCGTATGTGTTGTGGAGGTACAGTGCATCAAGGATCAAGCACAAAAGGGCCTTGATTGAATGATGAATTTCAAACTCTCTCACAAATAGATATACAGTTGTTGACGCAGAAAAATGGCTCGGCACTTTTCCGCTCAACTTAGTGATGGTTGGGCCTTCGGTATGCTCGGGGTCTCTGTAGAGCGCGTGATCTGCAAGATAACAAACGCTCGGTAAGACCTAAGGCACCGTTGTGGTACCGGCCGAAGGCTCTCCGATGCTTAAGTAAGTACGGATTTAGTAAGCTTAAATTGACAGATCAATAGGCAGTACGCTGTAAGTTCTGATTACCTCTATTTTGGGGAATTGTGCTTCTTTTATAAACTTTGGGAGATGTGCAAGCTGTGAAAAATTTCGATGTGGGACTGTAGACATTGATTGTGGGCCTGCCACGTGTCCTAGAGGAGGAGGTTGCATTAATTGTTGGATCGGTAGGCTGGGTGCCGAAGCAAGGTGTCGAAGGCTATCATAGACCCAATCTTATCAACGCGTCCGATTCTTATTGGCTGTTCATTTTGGTATAAACAGAGTCCCCCAAGTTTTCCTTTGAGAGTTCTCGGAAGGGGACTTGACATTCTCATCGGCAGGCGAAGCGCTATCTTACCGTTCGGTAATTCAGCTGAGGGAGGGGCTCAATATTGACCCTTCCGTGCGCTTTCATTTGGGGACAGACGTCTGGGAAATTAGAAGGACGCTTCAAGCGAGGAATGATGGGACTGAAAGTTGCTTCGTCATCCGCGCCCCGCGTGCTGTTAGAGCGTCCACAGTGCGGACGACATGTGGCGTGTCCACTTATGCGGAGCGGAGCATTTATGCGCCGTTTGGTTTTTCGAGGAGTACCGTTGCGAACCCTCGCCCTATAAATAAAGGTGACTCTGGAAGAGTCACTTTGCATTTGTGAGAGAAGCGAGAGCTCTGTTGAGGCGATTTTCGACGAGAGCTAAAGGCAATCAAGGCAATTTTCGGCTTAGCAAACGGCAATCAGAGGCGATTTCCGACCGAGGTGATTGGTAGTACAGTTCACTAACCTTCCTTCACAGCTTGAGTTAAGGTACCGTTCGGCACTCTAATTTAACTCTCTCATTTAATATTGTTGTTTGTTGCACGTCCTTCCTTGACATGAACTAGACTGACCATAAGGTTCTGTTCGGTAGTATAGTCGCCATAGGTAGTGATGTAGGAATCGGTAGGCTAGTCTTCTGCATGACCCTTAGTTTTCTTTTCTGTGTTTTGTAGATGTCCGATAGCGAGTCACTATTCGAGAGTGAGCCCCATGCGTTCGACGGGGAGTTATCGGACGGTCTGTTTGATTCAGATAATGAGGCCGTAGCCCCTGATGCCGATGACAGAGAAGATACCAATGTTGAGATACTCGGTGAAGGCCCAAGCTCTGTTCCTATACAAGGTATCAGGAAGGGGATGATGACTAAACAATCAGTGCCGTTGGCCGTGGTATATCGTGATGGTCGTCACGTCGGCATAGCCCAGCACGATGAGTCTAGCGCTGGTCACCAATCAGAAACCTCTACGTCTGGCTGTGGAGAGACAGCTACCGAACCACCTTCCCATCTGAGGGTATCGGTAGTCTTCCCCAACAATCTTAGGGTGCTGATAGGAGTACCGAAAGAGCATCTGTTCTGTGTAGATTACCTAGAGCCCAACAAGATTACCAAACGAGAGATTTTCAAGTACCGTGCTGAGTACTGCATTCCGAATTCGGTGAGTCCACTGAGTCCCTCAACAAGCCGAAAGATGACGAAGTCGTCTTCTTCATCGACGTGCTTCTCCAAGGAGTTCGGTTGCCGCTGCAACCGACGGTGTAGAGAATATTAGCGCAGATTGGCTATGCGCCAAGTCAATACAACCATAACTTCTGTGTGGCGCTGATGGGAGTTGTCGCCGCGTATGGCATTGCCAAGGAAGGAGAACCTTCATACGAACAGTTCTCTTACCTCTACAGCATTACTAAGTCTAAGAGTGCCGACCATGGTGGCTGGGTTCAGGCCAACTGCTTGAAGGCTTCCGAACGCCGCTATTCTGTCAGTGCTGTGCCGACCTCTCAGAAGTCGTGAAGGAATCGGAGGGTGCTCCTTTCTGGCAACTATGAGTTGCCGTCGGGATAGCCTGTCCGCTTCCACATCCCCACCACCTTCCAAATAGCTGGTAGGTTGACGTGCCGTTCGGTACGTCGATTGTCTTGTCTTTCTTGTGAAATCTCAACCGTTTTGTTTCTTGTGCAGGAAAATTGAAGTAGCCGAGCCCTACGCAATCTGAGATTCAACAGATCGACAGGGTAAGGTTGAAGGTCCCTGCCATTGAGAGGGTGTACCCCTAGTTTCTCTTCATTGCGAATTTGGTTAAAGCCAGACTTGCCAATCCTACAAAGAGTAAGTGGACATCATATTTGCGTCCTCATTTATATTTTACCAATGTCTTACCGATCTCCCTCTTGTGCAGTGATGGAAGAAAGGAAAGCCGTCGAAGCCAAGAGGATGAACGAGTCTTCCAAGAGGCGCCCTATGATGGGCCTTCAAGGGAAGAAGGCGAAACGGCAGGCGGGGGTGGAGCCGGTACCGCCTGCTGATCCGGAAGATCAAACCCTTACCAATCATCTCCGGCAGCTCAACACCGGGTCGACGCCCAATAGTGCCGCCGAGGGGACCCTGAATGGTTACCGCAAACTTCGCTATTGATTTCCCGAAGAACGTAGTCCCCCTGTTCTGTGGTGAGGCATTTCAGATACGGCGTGATATAGCCTCGCTTGTACATGACATCGTTGATGATTGTGTATCTTGCCGATCGGTACCGTAGCTTAAGGGCCTGAGATTTGATTTGAGGCAGGGTACCGTTTGTTAAGTATGCATAGATTGGGGACATCCAAGTGTTCTCGTATCGTACGACGCATACTTCGGAGGTTATCGTGCTTGGCTGGGCCAGGATTTCCACCGACACCCTCCTCCTAATCCTATCGTTGATTGCAGAGGTTAACCATACCAGCGCATCGGCGTGACTTTTTTCTGTCATGGGAATCTGCCGAATCTCATAGGCCTGGAATTTTTGAAGGAGTTGGTGGGCTTCCGATAGGTAGGCTGACATGGAGGCATCCTTGGCTGCGAATTCTGCCGTTATCTGATTCATTATGAGCTGAGTTGTTGTAAATGCTGATTTGTTTTGCGCTCATACTCTTGACTAGCCAAAGGCTGGCCAAGAGGGCCACATACTCTACCTTGTTGTTGGAGGCTTTGAAGTTGAATCAGAGGGCATACTCGACCTTGGCTCCGTCTGGAGTAGTCAACACCAGACTAGCTCGACAACCTTGTTGATTTGCTGAGCCATCGACATGCAGAATCCATACAGGAATGAAAGGATCGAGGCGTTCGGCATTCTGCCTTTCTGGTTCCCCGGCATCAGCGTCTGAATTGGCTGGTTCCGGTGGTACCGAAGGTGTAAGCTCGGAAATGAAATCGGCAACAGCCTGACCCTTTTCTGCAAGCCTTGGCTTGAACTGTATGTCAAATTCTCCGAGCTCAATCACCCATTTGATCAATCGGCCAGATGCTTCTGGCTTTTACAGCACCTGCCTAAGAGGTTGGTTGGTTAAAACCGTGATTTCATGCGCTTGGAAGTACGGGCGGAGTCGTTAAGCTGAGATTACGAGAGCTAAGGCAAGCTGCTCCAAGGGGGGATACCCAAGCTCTGCGCTTTGGAGTGCCTTGCTGACGTAGAAAATCGAAAGTTCTGCCTTCTCCGACTTGCGTATCAGCACCGAGTTGACGGCAATGCTAGATACCGAAAGGTAAAGAAATAGAATTTCCCCGGAAAGTGGCTTTGACAACAGTGGTGCTTTGCTCATGTAGTTCTTTAGGTCTTGAAATGCCTTATCGCATTCGACAGTCCATGTGATATACTGTTTGCCTTATTTTAAGGCTCTACAAAACGGTACGCATTTATCGGTGGCCTTGGAGATGAAGTGTGTTAAGGCAGCGATGACAGGACCCGTCCAGAAATTCCTCGGAACCTGGGACGGACCCCGCCTAATTACCAACATCATCCCGATGCCGGGCCCATTTACTAAAGACTGAGACTTTCTACCAAAAATTTGGCAGAGTCTCCCCTGTAAATTGAACATTTCCCAATGTCAACATGTCAAAATTTACAGTTAAAAACAACCAACTGGCAGCATGCTTTAC